AGTTGGTCAAAAAGGATAAACAACGATAAAACTCTGTCAGTATATCGAACCAACCAACTAACAAATATGCAGATCGTAATTGTGATGGATGATGAACATACACTGAAGAGACGTCAAGTAAAACCTCAAACTGAAAGAGAAGAATCTGATGTAGGTCCGAAAGTAACATGCTCAGTATCATGCTCAGTAAGGACGAGTCGAAAGTTTGCAAGCAGTTTACCAATGCCCCTAATATTATTGAATTGCAAAATTTAACTATCCATGAGATCATGTGATTGAATGAATTGGGTAGGTCGTAAATTTGACAGTTTTGTGATTCCCTCACCCCCACCCACCCCAATGATTGATAGATTGTAATTATTAAAGCAGTTTTACATCATCATCAGGATCACCATCACATTGATGAATGAGTCTGCCTGCGTAGTCTGGAATTCCATCCGAGGTGTTAGTAAGTTAGTTAGTTAGTTAATTAGTTAACACATTATGCAGACATTGTAAACAAAAACACATTTTAAACACCGTCAAAAAAGGAGCAACAAAAAAGATAAACAAATTATCAATCTCTACAAGAGATGTTGTATTCTAATTAGGATTTCCTGTGTGTGTTTGTGTTTGTGCGTTTGCATTATTAACTAGCATGTGTCAGAACTACTCGCTTTGTCTTTCTTTTCCCCTCTTCCCTCTTTTCCTGTTTCTTTCCGTCTTTCTTTGCCTTTATTCATTATCCAACAACTTCCTTTACTCTGTGTCTGTTTATTTGCCTTTGATCAATTCCCCACATACCACATACACGCACACTCACACGCACATACATAGGTGTGCATTAACCCACAGACAGAATAGAATACTCATTAAAAATACAATACAAATAAGACAAATGAACACATTAATGCATAGACAAAGAAATACTCTACTCTATTGAATAGATGGATTGATTGAGATAGATAAACTATTAGTCTTCTTATAATAATATATTATTATTATTATGCCCTAATTTGTTAATGTGAGCAAGGAAAAATTGATTGAATTAATTAACTAATTAATCAATTAATTCGTTGATTAACTCATTAATTAATCAGTTAATTAATTGATGTATGTGAATAAGTGGGTGGGTGAGTGAAATTACTTCCATCAGATTACAACAATCTCTCTCTCTATCTCTACCTCTATCCATCTCTCTCCCTCGCCTTCTTTAAAATGTGTCTAATTGAAGAGATAGATAGATAGGTAGATAGATAAGTAGATAAATGAATGAATGTGATTGCCTTCTTTGTTGTTGTTGATGTTGGTAATGTGATGGTTAATTTCCTGTCCTCATTATCATTATTATTATCATTATTAATATTATTAATATTTCTTCTATTCCTCCATTTTCTCCTTCATCGTCTTCTGTTAGATCATCCTTCCTTTATTCTGTCTTTGTGTACGCCTTATCTGTAATCTCGTCTGTAATATTTGTAATATTCCCCTCAAAATATCCTTTTTGTGTATGTGTGCGTATGTATGTCAGTGCATTCTAGTATGTTTGTGTGTATCTGTGTGCGTGTGTATGTTTACGTAAGGCGTGTGTGTATGTGTGTATGTGAATGTATAACGAATGGAAAAAAGACCTTTTTCCCCTTTTAATCCTTTAATTTTATACAACTTTATAATTTATGTCAATCATTATTTATTATAATAAAGTTGATAGATAACGAGAGAGGGTGAGAGAGAGAGAGAGATAGTGAATAATTTTTATCTGTAGTGATTCTTATCTCATTTTATTATTTTATTCCCATATATGTAGTATACCCGTATTTATTTAATAGTTCCTTTTGATTACTATTGAGGCATATAACAACACTTCGGTTTATCAATAGTTGGTTTGTAAGCATTAGATTTGTGCTCTTTTCGAGTTGGTCACGGATTGATATCAGATAGAGAAGCATTGAAAACCAGCACTAGAGTACTGGACAGCTGTTTCACCCCTGAGGTTCGAACCTAGGATCTCCTGGTTACAAGGCGAACTCGTATACCATCCAGCCACTGGGACCCCACCCGATTCAATATTCAGCCCATTAATTCTAACTTCTACCAGTTCGTGATTTCAGCACGACTATCAACCAGTGTCATCGGTGGGACAGTTTCGGTTTCAGTGAAACTTTTAAAACACATTAAACATCCTCATAACTATCATTGTCATTACACAACAGTTTCCAAATCTTACACCTTGAAAGCAATTTCCATATTGACCAAAAACATAGAAGTCGTATGAATTCAGGGCCTACAAGATAGTTCAGAAGCTGGGTTACATTACGAAAAGCAGAAATCAGTATAAAATAATCTATGCTCGTACAACCAAGTACAGGAACTCAACGATACCATACTTGGCTCGTGTTCTAAGTGACAGAGACAATGTTAAGCGCGAAACCTATGACTTGCTTTGTTGTTAGTAATCATAATTTTAGGCTCTTTTATTTCTCTCTTATTTTGTATTCTATAGTGAACTCCTTCTCAAACATACTTAGCTACCTAAATTATTAACAGTGGCTTACTTTTGTACTTTACTATATTCCTTCTTTTGTGTATCCACTGGTTCCGACTATATTAGCACTATGAGTAGTACAAAATTATCCTGTCATTAACCATCGTGTAATTATTAGTTTTTGTGGGTTTTTTTATTTTTTCGGCAATATTAACTCACAATCATTGGTTGTGAACGCCATAGTCACCACCTTAAAAATTTTGTATTATTCAGGATTACTCACACCACCACTAGAAACACCGCATTAGATCTGACAATAAAAAACAAAACAACAACCCTGAAATGTTATTTTATGATTGTTTAGAGTTGTTTCAACCAAATTAACTGATCATCTTGGCGATAAATATTCTTAAATATCATTTCATAACTTCTTGTATGACTGTAGCTTTACTGTCACCATGCCTGTCACCATGCATTATCATATCATTGCTTCCACTACCCAATACTGAGATATTATTATATGCTGTTTATTTTCCCTTCTACTTCTTGGCATTTTTTCGCATTTTTTAATTATTTTTATGTTTTTTTTGTTGTCTTTATATTTATTTTTTTTGAAAATACTCCTTTTTAATGTTTGATAAAATTAGATGCAAATACTGTAGATATGTGCTGAAAATTCCACTAGTACCACTAGTACTGTTTCTGGAATAAAGCAAATTATTATTATTATTTCCAACAGCCTATTGCAGACTTTCATGTCAATGTCTGCCCACTTCACTGGTCTAAAAATATAAGGATAAGCAACAAGGATCCCTGGATGGCGATAAAATAACCAAGAACCCCATCGCCCAACATATATATATATATATGGATTAGACACACGTTGAGGAGACCGTTGAGTGAAATCACACGATCGCCGGATCCAAGAGCGTTATCTGAATGAGCATCAACGAGTTAGACTTTAGTTCTAGGATGACATGAGAGTGGCTGTCTGAGAAAGGAATAAAAGTTCACAAGCAATCGCGGAACCACTTAAAACAATACTACAGAGAACAGAATGCTATTAAAGACCTATGTTCTATTCGAAAGCTAAGGAAATAATAATATTTAAATAATGAATAGAAATGTTCATCCTTCAAATCTGGATTTAGTTTACGTTGTGGTCATGAAATAATCTCATTGGACGACTTTTCGTCCTATCGTTTAACCCTAGGGCGATCGCCAGCCAGTTTACTGTCTGCCGACCTAGCCCACATTTAATGTGGTTAAAAATGGATAAATATGATGTTGATTTTTAATTCTAAAAAAAGTCCTTCGACAATTATCTTATCTTCTCCCGTTACCGTAGTAGTAGTAGTGTGGTGAGATCTGGCTACTAGCCAAAGTTGGTAGACAGTAATTGACGTCAGTGTTTATGTCCCCAATATTCGTGACGAGAAAATGAGAACAAAGGCTTTGCGAAGGTGGATATAGTTAGCATACGGATGATCTGACACAGCCACAAAGAGATGCAAGGTTAACTTTCTGTAAGAAACAACTAATCAAAAGACTGTATTTTCTACTAACATTAACCTACAATAATGTACATCAAAATCTATAAATATGTGTTGATTTTCCTTAATAAACGATCTGTTGCCTGGCCCTTGTCTTCTGTTGTTACAGTAGTAGTAGTAGTAGTAGCAGTACAAGTGTGACGTGAGTTACTGACACGAATTTTTAACCAGTATATTGTATGATGACGTCTTCATTGATTCCATTATCAGTCATTCTGTATTACCCATTTCTTTTCTTCATTGTAGATTCATGTCAGAAGTTTTCACTGAGTTCTACAAGTATTCAAATGTATCACTAACACAATGGGTTGTACAGCACAACAATAATCGCAAACCATCCTTTCCATGTTCCTGTTGAGACTTATTCAGCTGATATACGAACCTTCCCCCCCCCCCCCACACACACACTCTCCTGCATGGACATATATAAAGTTTAGAAGCAATCAATTAAAATTAACTCATCTACGTTAATGATATCTTCCATCTCTGGATGCTTATTAAAAACCATAACAGTAGAATGCTCGACAGCCACACACATGTCTTAGGTCCGGTCGCCTACCGACGAATTTTGAAACCATGCCTAGCCAGTAGTAAGCCCAGATAAGAAAGAAGGTTAAGAACGAGGCTGACAACCCCAACCACACTCCGTGAAAACAACACCGTCGCTATTGAAACTTTGGGGCTTGAAGCCTCATATCCCAGTCAAAATGCAAAAGAATTGGGAGAGAAAGTTCAGTACAGCCAATAAACAAAGGACGTTCGTGGACCATGCACATGGTCCGGGGTTCGATCCCCGGCCACAGACGCACTCCTTTACCTCGCTAAGCCAGAAATAATGCTGGTGAAGAGGAAAGGGTGGGTATGAGGCTAGCAACCACATCCTGTAAAATAAACACTGCTACAGAAACTTCAAGCCCCTAGCTTGAAGCCCTATGTTCCACTGCGGAATATGAAGGATAAAAAAAATAAACAAAGAAACTTACTCATTTGTTTATCTGTAGGTAAATCCATTTTAAAATCTAATCTATGATTATTCGAATTAGAATTTGTTCCATTTAAGTGTAAATTTAGAGGGAGTTGTGCACAGGCTATTAAATTCTCTAAAATTGTATTATTAATTGTATTATCATTGCTATTATTATTACTATTATTGCCATTACTACTATTACTCATTTCAGTAGTATTAGTGGCAACTGATTTCGGTGTAGTTGCATTTTCAGTAGTAGTAGTAGTTGCTGTTGTTGTTGTAATATTCAAAGCAGTCGGGCTACTACTGTTATTAGCATTCTTCTGAATACAATCATCAGTTCTATTCATACTGCCATTAGTGAACATATCATTCAATATTTTCATTTCATTACATTCTAATAATGAAGATTGATTTGTTTTAAGGTGATTGATTTTAGCCTTCAGTAATGAATTCATAAATTCAGCAAAATCATTGATATTCGATAGTGATGGCGTTGTTCCGTCATGATTATTGTTATAATTTGTATTCATCTCACTCATTGATGATGATAATAAAGAAGGAAATCCTTGATTTTCATAATTATTATTATTAAGCATTTTCATAGAGGCTTGTATTGATTGTAATTTACTCAGCTGTTCATTAATATTGAAAGTATTCATTTGATTTTGATGCGCTACATTGTTATTTGCATGATTCGCCGTTAGAGATAGAACAGAAAATGGTAGATTTTTAGTTTTTATTCCCCTATCTTCACTGAGAGAATCATTGCTTGCATTCATACTGATATCATTACAATCAATATAATCATTATCATTATTGCAGTGATCTTGATCATGCTCTGGAGTGTATTCATTCCTCCTCTTTTCTCGTGTAATGAATTCATCATTATGCCTACGTTGTTTACAATTAGGCGGTGTTGACTTTTTACCTGATAAATTATTATATACAGATGAATTTATCTTAGAATTAGGAGTAGAATAGAAACTATTTGATATATTCTTTAATGATTTATCTAATAAATGTGAATTTATTAAATCTGTAGGTGAACTATTCAATAGACTCGAATTCAACAGCGTTGTTTTACTAGAACACTTGTCAAGGTCATTGTGTGAAGAGGCGGGTTGTACTGAGTTTGAATTTTCATTAAATATAGGAAAATTTGACATTTTTTGATGATAATTAGCTAAATCATTTACAATAAATGACAAATTTAAACGTGATGGTGATAATGAATCCATTAATTCTGTATTATTTTCATATGAAGAATTATTTTGTTTTAAATTATTATTATTTTGATTATGAATAATTTTTTGATGATTGAAATGATTAATACTAGAGATTGAACTTCTTTTACGACCAGTTAAAAATGGTGGTTCTAATAAATTTGATGTCATACGATAATCATCATTATCGTCATTATCACCTGTTAATATATTTGATGTAGATGTACACGTTGATGGTGTAGATGTGGAGACTGTAGAATTAATTATACTACAATTACTACTGTTGTTGTTTTATTAGTTGTCGTTATTGTTGTATTGCTAGAATTTGTACCATTTGTTAATAATTGACTACCTTCTTGTTTACGCCATTTAGCCCTACGATTTTGAAACCATACTTGTACACGTGATTCACTCAATGATAACTTTGAGGCGATATCTTCACGTGTAACAGCATCAGGATAGGGACAATTATCGAAGGCTGCTTCTAATATTGATAACTGTTGGACGGAGAATGTTGTTCTAAAAGAGAATGAAAGACGGAAGTGATATTAATTTATAAAAGTCTGCTTTTAATATGAAGTGTTAGGCATAATCGAGGCCTAGATATAATACATATGTATATTTTTCTCCCTTGGGTTTGGAGTGGAACATAGGGCTTCATCAGTAGTACATTTCCATTTCACTCAGTTCACTGTAGTCTCTTTTAGTTGACTCCACAACTGCCCATAAGCTTTCATTTCCTCAGCATAGGCTACTGATACATTTGTCTACGTATTCATTGGCGTGGGAGGGAACGGGGTACACGTCACAGTCAAATCGGTTGTCTCTGAGCTATTTTAGGATTATATTTTTGAATCGTTTGCATAGATTACTCATGGAACAAGCGTAGAGAACCCGATTAAACATCTTAAAATCAATTATTTCCCGATAAGTTCTTCAAATCACTTGTTAAAGATAATATTCTGAGAAACAGAGACTGTGCCCCAGTTCTCAACTTGTCTTATAATCAGCGGTAATTCATCATGAGCTGAAATCGGTTAAAAAACCATTGGAAAACCTGGTAGTGATGGACACCTGTTTCGTCAGTCTAGATTGGGAATCTTCATCAGTACGCACCCACCACTGGGGTTTGAACTCAAGGCCTTCCGGCTACCAGGCGAGCCCGTAGACCATCAAGCTACTGGGAACCGATCCAATGGCCAGTCCATGAGTCCCAACTTTTTCCAATTCACGATACAGCGTGACCACCAACCGATTTCATCGGCGAGTATTTTTCCGGCAGGTCTTGGGTTCGAACCTCGATGGATGCGTACTGCCAATGAGTCCCAAACTGGGCTGACAAAACAGGTGTCCAATTCTCCCTGGTTTCCAATGATTCTCTTTTTTTATTCCTATACGTTCCCAGTGGAACATAGGGCTTCAAGCTAGAGGCTTGAAGTTTCGGTAGCAGTGGTGTTTATTTTTACGGGATGGGGTTGCTAGCCTCATGTCCAGCCCTTTCCTCTTTACCAATCTTGTGACTGGCCCAGTAAAGTGAAGGAGTATGTTGGCCGGGGATCGAAACCCGAACCACATGAGGCGTGGTTGGCGAGCATTCTACTGCTGTGCCACTGACTCACTGAATGATTCTTTAACTGATATCGATCCGTGATCAAGCCTGTAGCTAATCGAGTCCTTGCAAAGCAACACTTGATAATTCATTTACTTTTCATTCTGTTTGACTAATCTGTGTATCTTTGCCTTATTATAACTATCACCATTAATATTATTAATGTTATTTTGAACAGTTTCTCTTATTATTTCACTTGTCCACCTGTATTATTTTGATTCACTATGTCTTTTGCAATGTTAAATTCTACCTTATCCGCCTTTTCACCTTGTTACGTAATGCTTTATTTGCTTGATAATTCTATTGTTTTCACAGCCCTGTCTAGGATATATACATTAACGAATTATTTTATATATTACATAACCTGCTTTATCACTTGATATTTAACTATGATTATAATCATAAATATTTTGTCCCAATTCACATTGTTATTATTATTATTATTGTCATCATTATTTACACCTTTATTTTCGATTTCCTCATGGGAATTAATCTTTTAGAAAAATTATCTAAACATATGTACGACTGTACAGCTGAAAAGTGTCTCTTCGCTGAATATTGTTTTCTTAATGTTACAATGGAAATTATTCAAATATCTGAGGATGGTTGAATATATATTTAAAGGTAATCAAGAGAGAACTACCGACTGAAATTCTATCAGAAAGTTGTACCAGTAGGCTTGTGAAAAAAAAGCCGACTTATAAAGTGTATAAGATTCAGACATTTATACAACTCAGTACTGAACTAGATTACTTCACATTAGTCATTAGTGCGTCGGTGGCATAGCGGTTAGGACGCTCGCCAACCATGCACATGGTCCGGGGTTCGATCCCCGGCCACAGACGCACTCCTTTACCTCGCTAAGCCAGAAATAATGCTGGTGAAGAGGAAAGGTTGGGCATGAGGCTAGCAACCCCATCCTGTAAAAATAAACACTACTACAGAAACTTCAAGCCACTAGCTTGAAGCCCTATGTTCCACTGGGGAACGTGAAGGGAAAAAAAGTCACCGAATATAACTCATGCAGAGATTAGCTTCTTCACAATATTCAGTGTACGGTAGAATACTGTGGTTCTCTCTCTATCTCTCTCTCTCTTCCAGATTATCCTGTGTCACATTATACACTGATCGAAATCGCTGCTTAGTAAGCTTCGTCAATTTATTATATAACGTGTAATATGCACGCAATGATAGTAGCCAGTAAAATAATTCAAACTGGTCCAATGTTCAATATTTTATTGCCATTTTTTGTTAAAATTATTCAAATTGATTTATACCAAGAGAGAAAACAACAAGTGTGGAAGTTTTAAACTAATACTTTTTTGTGTTCTGTGTATTAATAAGCTCATCTAAATTATGCCTTCTTTCACTTACACATCCACTAAGATGTAAGTAGAAAAACGGAAGACAAAAGTGTAACCGTCAATAACACAGGAGAAGGAAAAAATTAAGTAAATAAATCAGGTTTATAAAAAATGTTTTGTTTATTTTGTTTTAACCTGAGTTATACCTGATTCCATTATGTTTGACAAGTGTTACTTTGAATAGACTCAGTTGCTAGTATGAAATTTGTGACAAACTGACATCTGGTAAAAACAATAATGAAAAATCAACGTAAATTTGACAGCTGCCTTGTCCTAATTTGAGAAATTTCAGTAGTTTGGTCTTGAACTATCAAACCTTGCTACATGCATATTATTATTAGTTATTATAATTCCCTTGGATTTTGAGTGCAACATCTCCACCTCGGTCAGTTCTCCGCAGTCCTTTTCAGCTGGTTCCACGAATGCCGACAAGCTTTCCTCTCCTCCATGTCACACTCAGACTCACAATTTGTCAAATCCCATTCGCTTGCTACTCGAGGAAATGTTGCGTGATGTCATTCAGCGGTCTCCTCAGTGTATGTCCAATCTACTTCCAATTCCCTCAGGATATTTGTCGGGAAACAGATTCCTCGTTGGTTCGTTGCAGAGTTCACTGTTGCTAATCCTTTCTTGGCTGGCTGACTGTCTGATCTTCAGTATGGAACAAAGGCGGCTGTTGATAAAAGTCAGCAATGGATTTTAGTCTTTATTCACTGAAATGGACTGTAATTTTCAAATTGTTCCAACCCATTGCATAGTGTCATCCAATCTTATGGATCTGTACATTTAAATTAATGAATTCCAGTCGAGACAAAGGTCAGTTTACGAGTTTTCACATCAATACATCAGTCTACCCATCACGTACGACTGGATATTACAACTGACTTACGATCCAGTCTTATCATTCATTTCAATAACTAGACATTTCGCCTTAATTTGAAACAGAATGATTCACCAACTAAAGTATCCTGTCAATTTCAGAACAGAACTAACTTCATCACTTTCAAATTACACACTTCCAAGTGAAAATTTGTCTTGGCTTCGTTTGGAAATACAAAAAATGTATTTATATATATTTCGATAATAATTCAATCCCCAGTAGGGTGTTAAAAGGTGTGTCCTGATGAAGAGTCGCAAACAAGGACGAAATGGCATCAGTTTGTTATCCTGTTGATATCAGTAAGGGCAGTAAAGAAGATTTATCCATAAACCAATGAAGCAACAGTCAGACATTCTGATCACTGTTATCCGACTAGTAATTAAATCTACAATGGACGTAATCTTTCTTAATTTCAGTCTTACTAATTGTATTATTTTGTCTTTTGCATTTTATTATTTCACATCTTCATTTATATTATTGTCTACCCCACCCTTTTGTAATCTCTACCCTAATTAACAATGTTGCTAACTTGACGCACGTCCAATTTCTAGTCAACTATATTACGTCATCCGATTAACTTACTTATTTTCAACTGTATTATTCTCTACCCCCACCCTTATTTAATTTTAACCACCACTCATTAACACTGTTGCCAACCTGACCTACTCTGAATTCTACTCAATTGTATTATGTCATCCAATTCACTTAATCAATTTTATTTTATTTTCTATCTAACTAACGTTTGTTTCCAAGCCAAATAATACTTATATTACGTAATTATCTAAACTTTATAAATCTAATGTACACACACACAAACAAAATTGTATATAAATGCAAATGCACACCTCAGTGAATGAATTCGCCGAAAAGAGTCTCTTCGCTGAACTCCTTTTTTTCTTTTATATGACTGAATGGGGATTTTCAAGTTACTTAATTACTACTAGTCAATCTGAACGACTTCCAACCAGTTATGTCAGTCAGAGTAGGTCGGATGATTCAATTGTATTAAATCAATAATGATTAACTTATGGTTAATGGCATGAAACAGCTGTCTGGCACTTAGATTACTTCTATGACGTAATTGTTTTGATAAATAAGTATCTGACTACTGATATCATTCAGTAGTACATACGATATATCACAACAGAACTGACAAGTGATAAGTACAGTTAAAGTCAAGGTTAACATTGAAAGATACCCAGCATTTCATGTTTTCTTTTATGAAGAATCATGTTAAGAATATTACTAGTTTCAGTTTTACAACATTACATATGTCACTATGTTGTCCAACTAACGCACACGCAAACGCACACATACACACATGCACATATGGACAAGTATACGCACACTAACTTACATACTTCCAGTGACAAATAAATAGATTCACTGATGCTTAAACATCTTTGCACTTTCGTTTTTGAATTGACAGCTAAAAACAAACATAATTCTCATGTTTGTTTTTCACTTTTTTTTTAAAAATTATCTGAGTTACAAGATAATTTTGCTTATTTTCAGTCTTCTGTCGACTTATATAATTATAATAATAATAATACTAAGACGTAGAATAACAAAAACCAAAAGGTCATTTGTTCAAATATCAATGTGCTGGACAGCTTTAAGAGCTTTTTCTTCTCTTCCTCTGACCTTGGAGGAGGGTAGTAACTTCAAGTTATAGAATTACGTTGAATAACAATTTCCTGTTGTGTTAATTTTAACAGAAAAGTTCATCGGAACTGTCAACTTGAATGATATACACAAATTTCAAATCATTTTATCGATTTAATGCCAAGGTCACATTGACCTTATGACTATTTAAATTCAAATTAGTAAAACCTACTTAACCGATATGCTTAAGTTCCGAGTAGAATACAGGGCTTCAACAGAACAGTTTCATTTCATCTTCTTGTATGTAGTTCTTTTTACCTAACATCACAATTTCGTTTTGGCTGTCAACTCCTCCTTACACATTCTCCTACATGTCAGCCACGGATGCCTAAATTGTCTTCTTCTGTTCGAATTCCACCCTGAGGGCCGGCATATTGTGCGATTTCACTTAATGGTCTCCACAGCAACTATCCACTCCATCTTCATTTTCTTCAGCATATTTTTTGGGCAACAGACGCTTGGTTAATTCCTTCCAAGAGTTCTTTGTGGTCAATCCTTTCTGGTTGGCCATCTGAGCTTCAGAATGGAGCGAAGACAGCTGTTGAAAATGCTTTTCGAGAGTCCAAGTCTTTGAAATATATACGAGAATTAATTTGACACTAATGTTAAAAATCTGAAGATTGTTCCTTATGCTAAAGCTCAGCAGATTACTATGCTGATTTCAAAGTAATAAAAGGTTTTCAAGTATTGGTTTGGTAGGGATTTTGTTTGATTGTATGGAGGATTTCATCATGAGCTGACATCAGTTAGAGAACCACTGGAAAACCAGCTGGGAGTACTGGACAGCTGTTTCGTCCTAGTTTGGGACTCTTCATCAGTACGCACCCACCGGGATTCGAACCCAGGACCTTCTGGTTACAAGGCGAGCTCGTAGACCATTAAGCCACTGGGACCCGATCCAATGGCTAGCCCATGTATTCTAACTTCTGCCAATTCACGACATAGCGCGACCATTTCGCAACGTCTTCTTCGATGAGTTACTGCCTCATCTTTAACCTGCTGTACCCTACTGGTCACGGCTTCCCACTAGAACCCCAGGTTAACTGCCTGAATAGGGCCAGTCACTAGTGAGAATCAGATTAATTTTCAAGTATTGGTTTGGTAGGGATTTTGTTTGATTGTATGGAGGATTTCATCATGAGCTGACATCAGTTAGAGAACCACTGGAAAACCAGCTGGGAGTACTGGACAGCTGTTTCGTCCTAGTTTGGGACTCTTCAGCAGTACGCATCCACCAGGTTGAAGATGTGACAGTAACTCATCTAAGAAGACATTGCGAAATGGTCGCGCTATGTCGTGAATTGGCAGAAGTTAGAATTCAAGGACCATTGGATCGGGTCCCAGTGGCTCAATGGTCTACGAGCTCGCCTTGTAACCAGAAGGTCCTGGGTTCGAATCCCGGTGGGTGCGTACTGATGAAGAGTCCCAAACTAGGACGAAACAGCTGTCCAGTACTCCCAGCTGGTTTTCCAGTGGTTCTCTAACTGATGTCAGCTCATGATGAAATCCTCCATATAATAAAAGGTTGTCTTGCTTTCTCGATCCTGTCACTGACATCACTATCTGTGTCGCCTGTGGTTGGAACGATGCTGTCTAGATAAGTGAAAGAGACGGCTTTCTTTAGATTCCCCCCCCACTCCCCACTAATAGTGACTGATGCTTGTTGTTGTTGTTGGTGGTGGTGGTGACCGGCTATCTTCATCACCTCTGTCTTCTCTATGTTCACTTAAATTCTTCTTCTTTGCCTACTGCCTCTTCTGCCAACTTTTCGGTTTTCCTCCGTAGATCTTCGAGTTCGAGTTTGTTTGACATTAGATATAAATCGTCCATGAAGTCCAAATCTTCTAGAGTCTTATCATCAATCCAATGTATTCCTGTCTTCTCGTTCCCCAAAGGCTACTGCATGATCTAGTCTACCGCAATCAGGAATATCATCTGTGATACTGTGGTGAGAGCTGGCTACTAGCCAAAATCGGTAGACAGTATTTTACGTCAATGTTTATTTCCCCAATATTGGTCGTGAGAAAAATATGAACAAAGACTGATTCAACAACCAACCACAGCAGATTTTGCGTAGGCGGATACAGTTAGCATATAGATGATCTGACATTCAAGAAACAGCCACAAAGAGATGAAAGAATAACTTTCCGTGAGAAACAACCAATCAGAAGACTGTGTTTGTTTGCTTAACTAATCTATAATAATGTACATGAAAATATATAAATATGCTTTGATTTCCTTAATAAACGATCTGCGTCGGTGCGTCGGTAGCATAGCGGTTAGCACGCTCGGCGACCATGCACATGGTTCGGGGTTCGATCCCCGGCCGCCAACGCACTCCTTTGCCTCGTTAAGCCAGTGATAAAGTTGGTAAAGAGGGAAGGTTGAGTATGAGGCTAGCAACCCCATCCTGTAAAATGAACACTGCTACAGAAACTTTAGGCCTCTAGCATGAAGCTCTATGTTCCACTGGGAACGTGAAGAAATCCAAAATCAAACGGAATGATAAACCAATAATCATTTAACGGTTAATAATGACCTCTAATCAGAACATAATTCTGCTGGATTCTGTTCAACCGTATACCTATTGTTGAGCAAGTATATATTCTTTAAGTCTACTTAAATAAGTAGTATAACACTGATCTGAAATCCACCATACAGATTTTCAATACCAATATGAAGTCAATGAGCCATTGTATATGCCACACGCATCACGAAAAGCATTTCTAAAACAACCAGGTGTAGAGTTTTATCAACAGATGTCTTCACTGCGTGCTGAACATCAGGTAACCAGAAAGAATTATCGAAGTGACCAATAACGTATTGCCCAACAAGTATACAGGAGAACACACACTGAGAAGACCACTGAGTGATATCACGCTTCAGGCCCTGAAGTGAAAGCCAAGTGAGAAACGACAAGTTCGAAGTGGGTCTTAGGACGACATAGAGGAGATTAAAGCTTATGGGGAGGGCAGTCGTGGAGCTAAAAGAGACTTCAGAGAAGAGGTTGGAATAGGGGGGAGGGTACTGCTGAAGTCCTATGTTCCACTCCGAAAACAAGAGAGAAGAACAACATTAATAATAATATTTTTTTTCCTTCACGTTCCCCAGTGGAACATAGGGCTTCAAGCTAGAAGCTTGAAGTTTCTGTAGCAGTGGTGTCTGTTTTTACAGGATGGGGTTGCTAGCCTCATGCCCAACCTATCTTCTTCACTATCATTATTTCTGGCTTAGTGAGGTAAAGGAGTGCGTCGGCCGAGGACCGAACCCCGGACCATGTGCATGGTCGGCGAGCGTCCTAACCGCTATGCCACCGACGCACAATAATAATAATAATGACAAAACATATGCAGATGCTTCTCTGAAATCCTACATTACTGTTAAAACGATCAAGCTTCATTGTTATCCGTCAAGTAGTGATTTATTAATGTACCAACGTAATAACCAGATTGGACAGTTTTGATTGGCTTACTAATGGCTTAATCGTCTGATAGAATTCGACATCCTACAACCAATCGGATTTGTCTTATTTATGGCTTACATTTCTGCGGCTTTGTGATTACAATATACCATGTTTTTTCTTTAATAAGGTTTGTCATTCCGGTCATTCTTTTCCCAGTCTGACTTTTGTGTCTATCTCAGTGTGGAAGATAATCTCAAGTGACCAATTGGTTAAAGTGTCGTGTTCCGCAGACGCAGTCTAGTTACGTTAGACTTATACACAACTCAGTATCACTCCATCATAACAGTTACCAATAAAATGTCTAGTGTAATATATACATATGTGCGTCAGTGGTACGGCGGTTAGGACTCTCGCCGACCATGCACATGGTCCGGGGTTCGATCCCCTACCAACGCACATCTGATATCAGTGTTCAGCCTGCAAAATTTGGGCTACCGACATCCATGCGGAAAATTCCATAGTTGTACCAAAATATGGTGTGGAATCAAGCTATAATCCACACATATATTCACTGTAGAAACATCCAGTCACTATTCTCCTGACAAAATAGACATAAGCAGAACCAAATGAAATGAAACGCCGTAATAAATCAACTCACCTATGCCTTGCCTTCTTACACTTGTTTTCACCATTCATAGGTGAATGAGCTGTTGGTGGTGATCCTGATGAATCCATACCATTTAACAGTTGTCCAGAGGATGGGCTTAATTTACTCTGTAGACAATGATCTGATTGTATCGTTGACAGGATTTGATCATGATTTGTTGTCGTTGCTGCTGTTGTTGTTGCTGTTATTATTGTTGATAGTGACATAAGATTACTATGTCCTTCTGGGGTATTATCACCATTATGATTATAATTGTCACTATTGATTACATTATTAATAGTACTAGCAGTCGTAGCAGTAACAGTAGTACGATTATTATTACTTGTAGTATTATTATTATTATTATTCACAAGAGTACCGGTAGAATAATCCTCTGAATTCATTACACCAGGTAATAATAAATTATTCAATTGATTTGAAATTATACGATTTGAATTGTTCATTGTTTGAGAAATTGTTGGGAATAGGGAAGAAAACATGCTTCGATCGATAAATTCAGATTCTGAGGAGACTAATTAAAGCAAATTATTAGGATATATGTAGATATGTATGCGCATTATGCATATGTATGTAGGGAAGCATGTTTGTAGGTGTGTATGTGTGTGTGTGCGTGCGTGCGTGCACGACCAAATATATATAATTGATGAATGAATAAATAACCCGCCAGGTGTGAGAGGATGAATGATTAGTAAGTAAGTAAGTGTTGTAAATTGAATGAGCATCAAAAGAACAACACATTGATCAGTTGAGTCAATGTTTGAATAAGCCAACGAGCGCAATGGATATATACACACATACATTTGAAGACACGTGCGTACACCGAAAGGATGGAATTTGAAAAAAGAAATAGAAAAGAATAACAAATTAAAACAAAGCATTATTGAACAATGAACAATCGATACTATGAAAGATAATTTAAATTTTAAACAAATGTATACAACATATATAATTTTATTTTATTTTATATTTTAGAAAAGTCTTTTACACACACACACAATTTTCAGTAATTAATTAAATCAAAATAAAAGTGACATTTAGTGTTTAGGAAAATTTAAAAAAAAAGACAAGTGACCGGGTAGGAGTGGAGTGGAGTGAACAACTGAATAAATCAATGATGAACGGGTGGATAATTGGACAGCGAGAGAGAGAGGGGGATTGAATATATGACAGAATAAATTAGGAAGCTGTTCAGGTACTTATCAATGTAAATAAAAGATATAAACAGTTTCATTTGACAAGTGACATGTATACACATATAAACCAAAAACTTTCTTTAAAAAAACAGTTCTATTTGAGCGTCAGTTTTTTTCAAGGATAGAATGCTCGCTAACCACGCATATGTCCAGGGTTCGATTTTTGGCCGATTCACTCTTAAACTTCGCCGCCTAGTTTACTAACCCAGAGGAAGCCCAGAATAAGGAAAAGGTTGGGTTTGAGGCTACCAAAAAGAACACCAACGCTACTGATACCTCAAAGTTTAAAGCCTCACATTCCACTCCGAATGTAAAAAAAAACAAAACGAAAACTTAGAAAAACCCTTTTTTCATTAGAAAATAAAAGTCTTAATGGGAGGAACCTGAAAGAAACAACCTCTTTCACCTACCTAGGAAGCATCGTTTCAACTACAGGCGGAACTGACGAGGATATCAAAGCAAGAATCGGGAAAGCAAGACAAGCTTTCACTACTCTCAAGTCTGTGTGGAGGAGATCAACCGCACTCAGCAACAAAAATAAGATCCGGATTTTCAACTCCAATGTGAAGTCAGTCAGTGCTACTATACGGATCAGAGACTTGCACTGCGCGTCATAAAGAGCATCTCAAAAAAACTACAGACCTTCATTAACGGTTGTCTTCGCTCAATTCCACTCAAGATCAAATGGCCGGTCAGAAAAGATCAGCAACAGGGATCTCTGGCAATGAGCGAACCAACACAGCAGGAACCGATTGTGAAACAAATAGGCAGGAAGAAATGGAGATGGATTGGCTGGACATACTCTGAGGAAACCATCAAGTGACATCACTAGACAAGCCATTGCTCGAGTGGAACCCAGCCGAAAGGGAAGCGGCGAGTTGGTCGTCAGTGCTAGGGTGGGTGACTTGGAGGAGGTCATGTGAAGAGGAGATGAAAACGTGTGGGCAGACTTGGAGCCAGGTGAAGACTCTAGCAGAGAACCGAACGCAATGGAGACGCACGGCTGAAGCCCTATGTTCCTCTAGGAATTAAAGGAAACAATAATAATAACAATAATGAAGATAATAAAGTTTTGACTCTGATTTGAACAAGTTTTAAAGAAAAGACTGAAACTGTGGTGCCGTGACGATAACGTTTTTATTTTCAATAGATCTTCATTCATATAAGAGATTTGTTTATCTTTCAACTATAAGTATTATTAAATTATATCGATCTTATTTTCATTGCATGAATAATAATGGGCACTGAGTGAGTAGACTTCAAATAGATATAAAAATAGAATTTGAATACTGTGGTAGAAAGAGTATTATAGAATAATTTTATTTGATAATAACATACACCAATATGGCATTACTTGTTTACTTATAACGTTTTGAGCACAATTAATTGCCTATAATCATATCAAAGTGTTCACGTAAATTTTAGATTTTAACGTGCATTTGTAAACATCATAAAATTGGTTAAGCAAGAGTTGAACTTCTAAAAAGTAACATAGTTAGGTGCAGAGAGAGAGAGAGGTTGATCACTCAATTTAATCTAAACCTAACTCTTGCAATAGGAAAGATGTAATATAAATATCATATCTGAAATTGCCATGAACATCTTGATATGTGATTTAGCAATAAATTGTACTCGAAGCGTCGTGAGTAAATAAATATTATTGCATCACTGTAGGCTTTTATCAAAATTAAAATTATTTCATTATAGAGTGTACCAGTAATTCTCTTTTATGCGTTTAGAGTCACTATGGTAACTATGATCATATTATATGAAATACAATACAATAAGATCACTTATTGCTTAACCCAAGATGTGAAAATGGTTGGCTGTTGCAACTCCGTTGGTTAATATTAATAATAATATTACAATAGCTTCATTTTGAACATGTTTATATACAGCACACAATTTTTAGCTTGGCTCTATATACTACTTATAAAGAATCTAGAAGTAAAACAATAATCTACAGAATATATATTATTCGATAGAATTTCGCTCAGTTCGCAATATGATTTAATCTCTTCAAAACGGATCAAATGGTGCATTGAAAGCCATTTGTAAAAAATGCATATGAGTATAGACTGTTCTATAAGGAAGTAAAAAGGTGACTAGAATAAAGTACAGCCGAGTAAACTTGATACACTGTGCTCTGTGGGAAATAAGGTAGCTCAGTGATTTACGTGGGCTGCCATAATAAGTGGCAGACTGATAATTACTCACTGGAATCTTAATCTTATTTCAAATTTCACTCTAATTCCGATTATTTTCTGTTTGTGTGGTGACTCAGTTGTAAGTTAGTAAAGTGTTACATAATATAATCAGTAAAATTGATTTCTACAACAGAGTAAATGCTTGAAAGAGTTTGTTTACACAACAGGATATTAGTCAAAATCAGAATATATCTTGACATCCAATTTAAAAATATTCTACTAGCATAAAATGTCATCTGTTTAGTCCTTGGCTCTGGTGCTGACTCAATTCTGTTAGTCAGGTTTGTTTTGTAACCGGCAGCCGCACGTCTCCATTGCGTTCGGTTCTCCGCCAACGTTTTCACCTGACTCCACGTCTGCCCACGTGCTTTCATCTCCTCTTCGCATGACTCCCTCCATGTTACCCTCGCACTGACGACCAACTCACCGCTTCCCATTCGGGTTCCACTCGACCGATGGCTTGGCGTGTGATATCACTTGATGGTTTGTTTTCTCAGAGTATGGCCAGCCAATCCACCTCCATTTCTTCCTGCATACTTGTCTCACAATCGGTTCCTGCTCCCAGAAATCCCTCCCTATTACTGATCTTTTCTGGCCATCTGATCCTGAGTGGTATTGAGCGAAGATCATACCGAAGATCATATTGCTCATAATCATATCAAGTTGATATGATTATGAGCAATAGTTTATGCTCGAAACGTCATCAGCTAATATTACTGTACAACACTGTGTGATCTGTCAAAAATAAAATCTTATCCATAATGGAGTTATGTTCTACCACAGTGCCCAAGTTTTATACTTTTATCAATTGAGCGAAGATAGCTATCGATTAAGGTCTGTAGTTTGTTCGAAGTGCTCTTCATGACGCGGCGCCAAGTCTCTGATCCATAAAGTAGCATTGACTTCACATTGGAGTTGAAAATCCAAGGTTGAAGATATACCTGTACCCTAACGACTACTTCCAACCAGCTTACATGACATTTAGACATATGTAACCGATATCTAAAGACAAGGAAATGCCTAATCTATGGATAGATTTATAACATTCTATCACGACTAAATGTTTAATATATTAGGAAAACCAAAAAAAACCAAAAATTTAACTTACACATCTCAACTTCTCTTTTGACTAGATGTGATAATAGTTCACATAAATCCAATATTGAATTTCAACAAATTGTTTTAATTAACAAGTAGGCAATCCTTATGATGATGTATGTTAAAGCAAGCATTTCTAATTATATATAATTTAAAAACAATTTGTGAATTTCCCATCTACACACCATATTTTCACACTGGTGATAATAGTAATAATAATGACACACGTTGTAGGATAGACAGGCACATCACTAGGAAAACAGACGTTGTTATACTCACAGTGCACACACACACGCGCACATACACACAATCAAACATACACGTGTTAGAGCACCGACATACATACACGCACGCACGCACGCACGCACACACACAGACAGACAGAAAGGAAAATATGATATACAAAAGATCTACATCAGTTTAGTTAGATAAGATGCCTGCCTCTAATATATAAGGGGTGGTGAAGGGATGGTGAAAAAAAACAAGAACAGAAAAAAGGAATGAAAAATGGCATTTTTCTGAAAGTTATTAATTTATTATTATTTTTATTATTATTATCAGTTTTTCGACAGTGAGAGAATATATATATTTTTAATCAAATTTGAAAAAAATAAATATTTTTATGTGTGTTTATGAACTAATTAATTAGCTGATTAATTAATTATATGAAAATTGTTTTTTATCACTATTATTATTATTCCCTTAAATTATTTGTTATTCAAACACACACACAAACATGCATGCACGCACGCACGCAAATATATACACACAAGCATGAATACTCGTTAATCATCTGTACGTGATTATGCATCAGAGATAATGAGTGTAGAAGGAATGCATGCGACCGTCTTCTGTAAGTGTTTATGTGTGTGTGTGTATATGTGTGAATGTGCATGCATACGTGCGTACGTGATAGCAATTTCGGTAACACACACACAAAAGCACCAGCAGGCATAAATACACACACACATACGTTGCAGTCATCTATTTTTAATCTGAAATTAATTATTGTT